AGCCTCGCGCTCCGCGCCTTGCGGCCCCACCACGGTCACACGCCCAGCATCCCGCTGCTGTCTCCTCCCTGTGCTTTGTGGAGCCGGCGCAGAGTGACAGGCGGCGGCCCCTCGCCCAAGACCCGCGCGCTTACCTGTGGCTGCCTGGGCCCGACTCAGAGCCCCGGAGCCCCGAGGTGGGAGGGCTGCTTGGGAGGAGTGGGACAAAGTGAAAGTCTCCGGGCTGGGCACAGGGAGAGACTGAGACTGCTGCGAAGATGGAGGGGGCGGTGAGGGGTGCCCGGAGGGAGGCAGAGGAGCTGAGGGTTCTTTATTTGGAGTGGGCTTAATGACGGAGGTGGCGGGGCAGGCCAGCTGGGATTCCGCTCTCAGTGGGCTTCCGTGATAGCAGTGCCTGCCTGGTGCATTCCTGAGATTAAGGAAGGAGGCCTTTTAACCCTCTACGATACCCTTCTGAAGAGGAAGCCCCCTGTTTGGTTGTTTCTCCTTTTGCAGACTCTGCCGGGAAGCCTCGTTCTTGGGTAGAAGGCAGTTGTGCTGCTCTGTGGAAACACGGGCGTGTTTGTGTTTACACCTTGGTGGACGAGACTTGGTGGCGGCAGGGCGGACGGTCTTGGCTCCAGACCCAGGATGCCCTCCTCTCGGGCGCGCTCCCCAGCTCAGGGTTCCGGTGGAGGCCGGTGGGTCCCAGCTGTGCTGCTACAACGCTCCCGCCCGAGTCAGTATTCCCTAGCTAAGACTTTTCTGTGCTGGTTATTCTGCTGATTGCAGATATCTTTGCTTTGCTGACATCCTGTTTTGTTTTGGGGTTTTACATCCCATTTGTTGTTTCTTTTTGTCACAGAAACGCTTCGTTAAGGGACTCAGGCAGTACGGGAAGAACTTCTTCAGAATTAGAAAGGAGCTGCTTCCCAATAAGGAAACAGTGAGTACAATCGGACTTTATGTAACTTGATTTTTTTCCCTCTTTGCTCCTGCTGCTTCTCCACATTTGATCTTATGAAATGGTTTCCTTTAACCCTGCGCTGCGCTCACACACAGTCTGGCCTCTAGAATGGTTTGCCTCACTTCCGTGACTTTTAATTTTGGCTCGTGGTTTTAGATGCTAAAGGGTCATGTTTACCTCCCTGAAGAATGTGTTGTGACTGTAGGAACAGAAAGGTCTTCAGGAGCAGAGCCAGTGAGTTGGTGGGTAAGGGTTGTTGGAGAATTAACATCTAATTTTAAATACAGTGGCTTGAAGATGTCATTTATCACTAGTTTGGCTTTGGTAACAGGCAAAACTCATCAACCAAATTGAATAGAATTAAGAGGCTTATGGCTCGCTATACTTTAAATTCTGTTGGTATCTCCCCCCGTTTAATGCTGCCGTGTGTCAGAGAGTAGTTAGGATCTTTACTATTCAGCCCTAAAAGGTAGCACTTTCCACTGGACTAACAAACCTGGGCTTTTATAAGTTAAGTGGGGCTTTATAAAAAGTCCTTTTATATCACAAAGCTAGGGCTGAGAGCTGACAACTACTGAACCCCTGATAAAATTGTATTAGGAGGGTTTGCTGTGGAAACTTCAGAGTGAAATTATAGGAAGGTAGTGTTGGGAAGGCCTTCAGGCTTACTTACCTTAATTGCCTAACTCCTGATCTTACAGGTGGTACTGAGGACCCTGTGGGGGAGCCTTCCTGCTGGGTAGGCCACACAATAGGGGGTTCCGGGGAGGGGGCAGAAGCAATCACTTAGCCTTAGCATTCAGTAGCCAGAAGTTCTCCCTAGGACCTGAGAGAGGTGGCTTTGATATTTAACCTGCCTCCCCAGTGGGCTGCTTTTTTAGGAAGTGGGAGATGATTGAATATCCATTATAAAGGGGGCGGTCATTGCTGGTTTGCTTTTTTGTTTTCTGTTGGGTGCTGCTTACTGACTTCCTCTTACTTGATTTGCTCTTTTAAAAATGAACTATTTTTCTGGACACTTACTACATATATAATACTACTTTAAGTTAAGGATCGTGGTAACACGTAGTTGGGGAGATTTCTGAGATTTCAAGTACATGGCCCAGTATTAGTTGATGGTTTGTATCGATCAATGATAATTAGGTTAAACTTGTAATATTTATTATGCACCTAAATATGCTGAGATAGGTCATTGAGAATGATAGAAAGTGCTTATAAATATTGAAATGAAATATAGTATGGACCTGATTTATCTAATCAATTTATTTTTTGCCCTTTCCAGAACAGGTTGGAAACAGGTACTCACTGTGGGATGGTGAAATAATACTCTTAAGTTTTCTGGAGATTTCAGTTCTTCACACTTGATGCAGATTTTTTAAAATTAATTAAAGTGCCTTGACCCAGGTGTAGTTTTGGTTTGACCAAGTGAAAAAGAGATAATTGAGTAGGTTTGTCCTAAAGTTGTCACTGGACACACTGAAACCTCAAGTTTTAGCTATCCCCGTGCTCTGCTGCAAGTTGTAAATCATGAAGAACTTGGTGGAAGAAATCTCCTGACAGTCATTTTATCTTAACTGTTGAAAACAAATAAATGTGTAATAGCATAGTTGAGCATTAAATCAAAAGCTACTGTTTATCATTTGGAATCAACAGACGTAGTTTTATCCCCCTAGTGGAAGTAGACCTGGCTAACCTTTACTGTAGGTAAGGCTCTTTTCATCTGTTTTTCAGATTAGAAACTAGAGAGTTGTTTTCATGTAACCTCTTCTTGCCTTCCATCCCACCCGCCTTTTGGAGACAGACACACTATGCAGTTCAGTGGCCTTGAACTAGGTAACCCAGGCTGGTCTTGAACTCACAGTGACCCTCCTACCTCAGCTTCCCAAGTGCTTTAATAACAGGTGTGCACCACCATACCTGGCCTCCTTTTCTTGTCTTGGTGGCCCCTTACAGGTGGTGCCTGTTTCAGGGAACAGCTTTTCTTCCCTGTGCACCACTCAGCTTGTCCTTCCTGAGACCTGCCCCAGTCATTCCTCTGCTGGCAGCCAGGACCATGTCTGTGGCAGGCCTCTACTGGGGCACAGTGCTGGGGTGAACAGGAGAGTGGTTTGCAGCAGTGGTGACTTACGGTGGCTGCCATTTACTAAGCGTGTCCTCTTTTCTTCTGGTGGCATTGGAGGAGTTCCTAAGTCTTGAGTATTTTAATCAGCTGGGAGAGGCTCTCTGGTATTTTCTTTAGTTATCACACAGCCAAGCTAATCATTTACAGCCCACAGGGAGGGGGAGGACAAAGGTTTGTTTTTTTTTTTTTTTTTTTTTTTTTTTCATTTTTGTTGCAGAAGATGAAAGAATTTGCAGTTACCATTGTTCTTTGCTGAAAAATTCCGTGGTAGAAATCATCTTAGGTCATGTTCCTTTGTATAGGAAATTCCCCAATCCAGATTATTTCTACATTGTCTTCTGTTTTCCAGAATTATTAACTTTTTTTTTTTTTTTTTTTTTGCTATTCTCAAGTGACTTGAAACATCAGAAGGGCATCTGCATCCAAGAGAACATGCCTGATTGGGCATCAGGGCGAGGGTCAGCAGACCTGTGTTCTATTCTTGGCCTTTCCAGTAACTATAGTACTTGATGATCTCTTTTAACTGTGACGTCAGCTTTGGGCTGTGTAGTGGCAAGTTCAGGTCAGTCCTCACAAGGACTGGGAATTTCCTTTTGCAGAAGTGTGGGTCCTTTGCAGGAGAATCTCATGGTGCTGATGTGTTCACAAAAAAAGGCTTGCCTGCCTCTAGCTGCTCCTGCACCTAAGCACCAAGTGATGGCTTTCGCCTCCCCTGCCAGTCTCTTGCCATGGGCCTAGGCAATTATTCCACCTCTCTGTCCTTTAGTGTGTGTATAGTGGATGGTAATAAGAGAAGAGTTCCCTGGTTTTCATTTCTGTCTTGCTAAAAGCTCTCCGCATTGAAACGTGGAGGGCTAGAGAGCAGCACCTAGCTTAGGAATGCTCCTCCTCGTCCTTGGAGTGTAGCAAGGAGGCCTCCATTCCTACCAGTTCAGTAGGAGCTGCAGTTAGGTCAGAGGAGGGTTCCTGGTGGCCACGGACATGAACAGCTTTCCTGGCTCTTTTGGGTTTTGGTGTTTATTACATAGGAGCTACATAATGGCTCTTCCCTCAGCACTGCTGCCCACTGAAGTGGGAAGAGCGGCTGTGATTGCGGAAAACCAACTGTTTATAGAGGTTTGGTTAAATGGGTATTCTGTGTTAATCTTGTGGTACCCAAGAGTGTAACTGTGAGTCAGACCTAGTATCACAATTGTGCAGATACCCTGTAATTCGTTGTTCTCATTGTTTCTCCCTTTCTCTAAAGTTGTTTGCCCCTCCTCAGTATGCTTATGAAGTGTACAGTTAGTAGCTGAAATGTGGTAAGAAATCAACACGGCACCCCAGAGCCACACTGGCTATGTATTTCTTCTGTCTGAAGCCGCTGTTGTCCTAGAGTTTTTGGTGTGAGTCCATTTGTAGAAACCAGACGGCCCTATCACTGAGCTACTGAGAAGGTGGAGAACCAGGCCTCTTGAATTTGCTTTGAGCACTGCTGTTTAATTGTTGGGTAGATGAATTACATGGGCTTTGATGTTAGGTAATAGCTGAAAAAACAGGAGGACTAATAGAGTGAGATTTGGCTGAAAGTGGAGAGGACTCAGTGTCATGAATAATATCATGGGTCATCCAAAAGGAATTCTGCCACATCATGAGGTGATTACGCAGACGGTAACGATGCCTTCTCTCAGCCTGAGAGCGTGTTGATGTCGTTTGAACAGAAGTCTTTGTGTCTGGCAGATTGGCTCTTGGATCCTGGTCTTTGCTTACAGCTACTTCTGTGTGCTTTCTCAGTGACCTGGCCTTGCTGTTCCTGTCTCAGGTGCAGTGGAGGTTGGCAAGCCAGAAAGAGGTGTCCCTAGAGTGTCTGGGTGCCTCTGGAAGGAGAGGAAGGTGTGAAGGCTCGCACTTTTCTGGAAAGTGGCTTTAGATTGCTTTGGTTTCCTTCTCCTCTCATTAGTTTTAGTTTTGATTACCTAGCCCAGTAGAGATTAAGCTCCTGTTATTTGTGAGCCCAGTTGGTGGTGCATTAATACTTGCTATGGTAGAAACTCATTTTCACTCAGCATTTTCAGAGCTAGACATTCCATTCAGTGTATTGAAGTTTTGGGTAAATGCTCTGATGGATGGAATATCTATAAAGAGAAGCAGGCTGCCCTTCCTGTCTGTAGGGAGCTGGCACTGGTGCAGGAAGGCGAGCCACATATAGGTCTGCAGGACTTGATAGTATGTGCTGAGGCCCTGTGGGTGGTAGTCTGAGCCCCGCAAAGTGAGCATACAGGTTGGGGCTCTGGAAGGCCAATTGGAGAAGGTGGTATTGAAACTGGGCTTTGAAGGAAGGGCTTATTTTTGACAGGTCCATGGTTGGGAGGGTGGCAGAAAAGCAACTTTCCAGTGTCAGAAGTGCAATATCATTGAGCAAAAGCACAGAGGCAGGAAATATAAAGTGTGCCCCTCAGGGATAAGCAGAAGAGTTGTGTAAGCTGATGGAGGGAGACCTGAGCCAAAACTGTAGCCCAGAGGTAGACCTCAGGTACCCTGAGTTCTCTCTGGGATTGTGTGAGTGAGGCATGGCCTAGTGGAGAAGGCTTTCCAGGAGAGAACTGAGAGCTGGCCTGAGGTGCAGAGCAAGTACAGGACGTGCAGCACAGCTCAGTTTTAGAGGAAGATGGAAAATGGGAGTTTAAAAACTGATGTGAGAATGAAAGCTGCCATTTGTCTTGATTTTTCTCTGTTGAAAAGGTATCCCTGACTCTTTGACTGGGACCAAGAGCCCAGGGAAGGGACAACTGGTTTTGATGTTTTTAACTTACGGTGGTGGAATGAAAAGTTTTGGAGATCTAAACTTTTACTTTGAAAGTTAACAAGAAAACGAGCT